TGAAGCATTGTATCACTTGTCACTTCCAGGCTAATAGGTGACAACAGTTGGCACAAGTATCAAGCATTCGTTCTCCCAATTCGCGCTCTAGGGGGAGTACTGTAGTTTTTACAAATCTTTGCATCTTTCATTGTAACTCCCTGTTTTGTTTTCCGTCAGTATACATTTGTTTTAACTCACACTTCGAGTTTTGTCCGTCTCCTGGTTTCGGTGACGCTGTGCCGAATTGTATTGTTATGTTTGCTTCCCATCGGTCGTTGGATCTCCGTTTACGGATCAACGTTCCATTTCTCCGTTCGTGCCGTCAGACAGCTTCGCTGCTTTTCTCACTTGTTACCTGACTGTGAGTAATCGCACCACGCTCCTATTCGCCGTAAACCTTCGTGAGAGTTGGTATCCTGGTATGGTAATCTCCTTATCCACAATCTGAAGTCATATAGGTCTCAGTGAGAGACAACAGGTCTGGCTAGTGCTCAAAAATTAAAAGCTGAATCTCTTCAAGCTTGTTTTTGAGTCTGTGTACGTTAGCAAATACTACTCGCAATCCACTTTTCGATCTTAAGGGTTGGGTGGCATGAAACTTGACTTCCAGTAGGCTCTGTGCGTTTTCTGCTCTCCGCGAAAATTCACATGTAGATCGGTTTCGCTGTTCGCTCGGTGAGTCCGCAGTTCACTGATTTGTTTCACTTTGACTCGATCCCCTGATGAAAGGTCTTTCAACATAAAGAATGTTTCAATCTTCAGGCCCGAAGATGCGGCAACATTCTTCATCATCACGACACGATTTTTAGAGGGCTTGTTGAATTGATCGTCCGTTCTTCTACCAATGCCAAAAGCAGAGGCGATGTTAACGCCCTGCTCGCTTTCATTGAATTGGAGGAAGCCATTCGCTTCAGAAAGGCTTGCTCGTCTAGAATCCCTTTAGTCGATATCTCTATCAGATTCAGGAACATTCGTAATTACTAAGCAGTGATCATGAGGGGCCTGGTTTCCTCCTGAGATCCTCGACTTTTGTAGGCCCGGCATTTCTTCGATCGGTTTTTCTACTTGGTTAAATTCATCTAGAACTAGTTTCATTTGCCTTGATTTCACTTGTTTTCGAAGCTTTCTTCCTCATCGTCTCCTTTGCAGCCGAGTTCATGCGAGATGCTTTCGCAGCGTCCATGCTCGCCGTGGCTGCATAAGTCTTTATCTTGTTTTCATTTGTAGCCTTTTTAATCCTTATCCAGTAAGTGTTCCAGTCAATGAATTGGAAGAGACTCAGCTTCGACTTTGCGCTTTAAGTTGGGCAAAACCGTGAGGTAGCCAATCGATGATATAGCATAAATACACGAAGAAATTGACTGAGATACTTGGTTGGACTGGTGCGTGCCGTCTTCGTGGATGGGGTCCCCGGGATCATCCACACCAGTGGTGTGGGACTATCAGTTTCCAACTGGCACTGCTGCGCTGTCATTGGCGCTCTTGCATTAGGCTTCTTGCACCTAACTGTTAACTGTCATTCCATTACGAGTTGTTTAACGTACTTCTTGGTTCCATTTTCTTTGTGTCTTGTTTGCGTGCAGCCTCATCTTTTACCTTGTTGTCTATTACTACTCTGGCGAGTAGATAGTGAGAGTGATTATGATACTATTCTGGCGACCTGATTCGTAACAACTGAAACTACCGCATTTTGGTACCCGGGTCGTAGTTGTTCCACTTGACTGAACCTAACTAAGAACAAATAATGATGCTCGTCTATCTCTCGCGAAGACTAACTTCTGACACAGCACCCGCAGAAGAATGACATGACGCCCACCATCCATGAACCCATATCGATCATATCGCGATCGGTTTCCATTGGCCATCGAGACGAGACTCGACCTTAACGGGGTGCGATGATCTGTGTTCCTCAGCAATCCATTGTGCTATGTTGGGTAGTTCTTTTCGCACCTTCAGAGCCACCCATATCAGATCGGTCAGTGGTTAGAGGACAGCCCAACTTAATCTCCTGGCCCTCCACCTTGGAGGTTGGAGTGAGGCTGGCTCCTTACTCTATAAAACAAACTAGGCCAGTGCTGAAATCCCGCTGCCTTGCGGTCAGGTTATCGAACCAAAGGTTTTGGTTATGAACCCTAATCGTTCTGTCAAGGACTTGACAACGTTACAGTATCCTGTCCACGCAATATATTGAACTTCAAACATTTTTCTTGATACTCTAGCCGTCGCAGAGGATTGTTGACGGCGCCATATTTGCTGCGCATTTTCATCCTCATCGTCCCTCTTCAACTTCATTTGTATCCACTCTATTTTCAGCCAATTTTTGACCCTCCCTCGTCTTGCTTCCATGGTCGCTTCCCCGTCCGCACGAGTGACCAAAAAGTGTCCGCTGGAGTGACCGTCGGAGCTCCTTGAGAGACCAATTTTTGGGCCCCCGGCCGTCCTAATTGGACATTTTTGGTCACTCAGAATGTCATTTTCAGACGCACCCTTATCATATACCGTAAATGGATTTTTTGGTTTCATATACCGCCAACACCAAATGGAAATCGATTTCCAACTTGTAATTACGTGGTACTATACTCGTTAGGCCAAACCGAATATGTTTTTGGTTAACTAAAAGTCGTCCAAAGTGTCCGGTTGGGACGGCCAGGGTCACAAAAATTAGTCACCCAGGGCACTCAAACTGTCACTCGCGCTGACTGAAACCACGATTTTACTGAAAAGTAAAGCCTTTTACGCACAGAACGGTAGTGCCAAAATCGCATAATCTTATTTAACAGCATATCAGGACATCATACCGTTTATCTTCATATTTACTTTTTGCTTCCGTATGTGACCAAAAACGCCCAAATGGGACAGCTGGTCGTCCATCTGTGTTGACAGAGTTGTCTTCTAGTTTCGACTCACGCAATTGCAGGGCGTCGCTCCAGTCCAGTCAACAAGTCCAAGTTCAGACAAATGGACATCAGTTCAACCTTTCTCTTTGGAGCCCCTGATCCTCGCTAAGACTGCTATGCCTCAACCTTCACACTATTGCAGATTGACCAACAGGCAGCATTTGCCCAAACACTAAGAGGCCCTATCGATCGATATCCGCTGCTTATCGGATACTCGCCTGCAAGATTCGAGTTCGGCGATTATCCTCTGATCCCCCACATGTGACATTGGTGGCACTTTCTCATTGCGTTTATCTGGAAATCACACAACTCGAAATACTGGTCAAGCCGATGTGGACATTGCTCTAAGTCCCCGGGCCAAAGCTGCCATGGCTGGCTGGATCCCAATCAACAGCCGGATGTGCGCTGTCAGATTGGCTGTCTCGTTCAAAGGCTCGAAGTCGCACGGGCACAATTGGCACCTGTTTGTCATTGCGGCGTACGCCCCACAAACCGTAGCACTGACGCGGTAAAAGATGAGGTATGTTACCAACTGAGCGAGCTCATTCGTTACAAGAAAAGTACGGATACTGTAATGTTTGCTGGTGATCTGAACGCCCACGTTAAAAAAACTGTGTACTGATGAGCTGCGTCTGGGCCACAAACACGGTTTAGGCATCCGTAACGATAACGGTGAGCGGTTGCTACATCTGTGTGAAGATGCTCGTGTACTTCTCGCGAGCATTAATTTCCGACACCACATCCGCCGTAAGGTGACATGGCGCCCATCAGATTCGGATCAGTCATGGACGCAAATCATCCACATCGGGATCAGTTACCGCTGGAGAGACTGTCCATAACTAGCTCAACTTAGAACTCTAGCGTAGACTCTTAGAGTTCGCTTCGGTAGGCGCCAGCGACGACGCTGTGAACGCATGCATACTAAACTGGAGAGAGCCAGACGTATTCACGGAGTATCGAAGTACGCTAGCATCCTGAAGGGCAGAGTATACAATGCGACCGTCCGATCAACCTCCTATACAGTTGTGAAACCTGACCCATCAGATGCACAGACATAAAGAGGCTAGCTACCTTCGATCGTCGCTGTCTTCGCAGCTTAGATCATGTCTAGTGAGAGCACCGCGAGTTCAATGAATGTGGTCGCTGTCGCATTTATGGTGCAGGAAGAGCGGGTGAACCGCTCAGCATCATTATATCACGCACCATACTCTGATGGCTGGGCAACTTCTTGGGCATGCCGACTCCCGCGACTTGCGTTGTTTGCGCGCCGGGGGTGTAGGTGGAAGAAGAGAAGAGGCCAAGCGGTAACTTGGTCAAGGGAAATGAAAACCCTCACTTCGAGTTTGGCCTCGGTTAATGTCTCCCAACTGCCGAGCTGGGGACGGAAGGACTATGAACATGTTTGGTTGGGTACACTTACTGATATGGTGAAGAGCCGCCCCCAATGGCGTTATTTGTCCACTTGACGAATGTGCACTTGGCAGGCACACAACACATAGTTGACTACAACAAAAAGGGGAAGAACAGGTAGCCGGTGGGTAGGTCAAGAATGTTTATGCGCTGTGTGGACAGAAATCTTCCCGGTTGCGATCTCGTACCAAATGCATTTTATGATATTTGACATCATATTACTTGCTTTTTGACCTTTTTTGTAGTCTTTAATTTTTAGTATTTTATCTTTTATATTGCGGCACATTGGATGGGGTGTTTCTGATTCTCAGCTAGCTCGTATTGATGACTGTCAACTGTTTTATTTTTTCCACATCTTTATGAATTCCACCGTGGTGTTATCTTGTAGAATCATAAAATGCAAGTATTACTTTTCTGTATGACGGCGATCCATTTGATTTAGGTTGTAAGAACACCACCTGCTATCCAACAACTGCCAATAGGCTTACAAACCAAGGATAAGTCTTACACAATGGTTCCATTCTTTGATACGTATGCACTTCGAGGTACGGCGGTAGTGCAGGACTAGTGGCCATTCGATAGCTGGCCGGTGGCCGGGTGGTTCAGGCTTCTGGCCTGTACTTCATAAATCCATTCAGTTTCACTTTACTTGCCCCACCTCTCAGTCATTACATCCGAGTTTGTTGGTAACAACTGTTTTTCCTCCTTCAGCCAGACTCAGTGATGAAACGGAGCAAGCGTTTTATTTCATCACGTTCCCCTTCTTCGTCGACACCGGCCTATGCTCGCCACGGAGTGGGACACTCCCCGTTTCGAGACTCAGACACTGATACTGACCATTCGGGCTTTCATACTTCCCCATTGCTGTCGAAAAATGGTCTGTCCAGTATTCCTTACAACTCCCTGGAAGTGGAAACTCATCCAGCCACAAAGAGTGTTGGGCTTTCTGATAGTGTACACACGTTCGGCAGCCATGAAACTCCTTCACCAGATGGACGTCTTTTTGGTATCGATCTGTCAGATCGATCGATTGGCAAGGGACAATTAAGTGACCATCTTCAACACAGTCTGTTATATGCCCGTCGTATGGAGCAACGGGCTGCGCATTTGTCAGCTCGACTGAATCAATCTGCAAATCTTTCTATGAGCCCTCGTTTGCTGTTCAGCCCCGATCCGAACGCTTCTGCCCTCGACTCAGCTACTGAGCAGCGTCGTCGCTTGTCCGTCGTCGATGATTTGCACATGCAATCTTATCTTAGCATTAGCCAGCAAACTGCATCCACTGTTGAACGCTACGCTCGTTTGGCCGAGATTAGTCCAGACTTGCTGAACAAACCCACGCTCAATCGCTTCACAACTCGTTTTGTCCCAGGCGAAAAGTCAACTGAAGAGAAGCCAGCCGGAATTAATCTGGTTTTCAACTGTATGAAGTGAGTTTGATCTTTATACTCACCTTCGTTTAGTCTTGCAGGATCGTTTTCAAGCGTCACTGACATCGCTCGTACCCGATTGGCTGTGGTATACAAGGCGAAGCACCGATTAAGTGGGGTCCTTTATTGCTTAAAGCGATCACGATGCGATTTCGAACACGATCGCCCCTCTGGCAGGTGAGCGCTGTTATTTCCACCAGGGAGTTGGTGTCTCTCTCTTTTTACCACTTGCGCCATATTGTTCGATGTTAGCCACATCGATCGCCGTTGCTCATCTAAACATCGTTTGAACGCTCACACTGCTGATTGCCTCTGCCTTTCCCTTACTTGCGGTATGGTCGCTTTGTTGCGTTCAACTGAAATAGACATACGTTAACCAACTACTTAATCTCATGTATATAGTTTCATCTTAGCGACCGTTGAATTATTGAATGTTTGGATATCCACCGCAGGTTCATGCCTGATCTCTCATATGTGTCGGTGAAACAATGCACTTCTTCCTTGTATGAACTATACTGCCTGAGAAGTTCTTCAGTCATTTATCACTCTAGTACACTGGACGTCTTCTCTTCCCACTACACTTGCAGTTACAGTTTCCATTCAGGCTCCATACTCCGTCGCCTACAGGCGCATTGTTGTCACTGCGTAGCGGTAAACATGTAGGTATCGATGGTACTTATTACAATACGCAACCGTACCAAACTTCGTTTCCTCTCTCCCCATGGGCGTACTGTCACTTCATATTTGCATTTACAGTGATCTACTCGGTCTCAAGCCGATGAAGATGATGCTTCAGTCTAAGTTAATGGTACTGCTTACCTTGGAAAACTTGTGCTAATTCCGAAGGAGGCTGCCTACAGAAATTCTGTTAAAGGCAACGAGTATACGGCCGCGGGTGGCTGACGACGCATTGGCGAGGGCCAGATTGGTAGATGTTCCACTCATACAGTTCTGTGAAGGGATTGATCTAATGGCGATCTCAGCATCCGACGGAACACGACTAAATACGTGAGACCATCAGGACCCAGACAGCCGCGAGTAGTCGTATAACCCAACCGAACTTTAAAAGCCAACGACCCCAAAACCCGGCTAGTGGCCGTCACCTCAACTGTCGGCACCATCTCCATTCTTAGTTCAACATCCTGCTTGTATACTAATGCATAAAGCCTTATTCAATCAATCAACAACAGCAGTACATCAGCCACTTAGACTGATGCTTCGCTGCCATACAACCATGATGACCTATGGAATAAAAGGTAACAAGCGAGTAATGGGACTTATCGGAAAACCGTACGCCCTAAGCCAACATTCAAGATCAAGGCAACTACTCCTTTTCAGCATACCGCCGCAAACAACTGGCTAACGTGCAAAGCTAAGACAGCATCGGTGAGGCAGCTTCTTTACGACTTTCACTGCCCGGGTCATAATCACCCATTACCCCGCAGATAACTCAGCACCAAACACACGTTAAACAGGCAATCCGATTAGAAGACGGCAGCAGACGCGCCACTGGTGTCGACTGCGAACCATGCCCTGTAACGTCTCGAGCCCAGCATAAGGTGGGTAACGTGGACTCCAACCTGGAAGGCGAGACGGGCCCACGGCACCAACTTCGGTCATCAGTGACTTCATTTAACGCTGTCAAGTCAACTTTTGTCTACTTCGAGTCTTGCACCACCCTACACCTGTCAGACTAAACAAGGCCCTCCTAGGTAAACGGTGACCGGGCATACGTAGTACGTGCCCAAGCCACCGCAACTTATTCAGTGCTATTTGTTGTTCTAAGGAACTAGCTTGGGTATCACTGCGTAGTACTCGCCTACGCACATCATCGTTGTCAGCACACTGTTGCCACCCGGCACCAGCAATGTTCCGCAGACAGTAATGATGGAAGACTTGATGGTGCCTCAAGCCTTCATACCAAAGGAGTCAAGCCTTACTTCGACAGAGCAGGACTGCCCTCACGATGGCCTTGTAAAGACGACCTTTCGCACACAGGGGAACTCCCTTCTGTTGCCAAAGCTGCCGCAGGTTTAAATAAGCAGTTCCGGTCTTTGCAATACGTGAACTGACTTCAGTTTCTATGCGCCTGTCGTTGCTGATTCAGCTCCCAAGATAAGTGAATTGATCAACCACCTCGAGTTCCTCGTTATCAAGAGTCAAGGGGTCATCAAGTAGCTGGTGGTTCTGCAGCAACACTTTGCACTTTGAATGTGCGAAGCCCATACCAAATAATAGGACCATCTATAGAGGCTATTCAGGGTTGATTGTGCTGCTGCAACCTCGTTAAAAAGCAAGACGATATCGTCCGCATAACCAAGATCAACTTGCCTTTCACCAGGAAAGACCTCGGCGTTTACATCCTGAGATTCCTTAAGAGAACACTCCATGATGGAGTCCAGGACAAAATTGAACAGAAATGGGAAAATCGGACAACCCTGCGGAACGCCACTTATTGTTGAAAAGCTATCCGATAGGTCACCGTAGACCCTGACGCGGCCTGTAGTGTTCGAGTACAGAGCACTTAAGATGTTCACATGTTTCGTGGGAACAGAATGTATCGATCGACTGAAACGAATGCACTCTAGAAGTCGAGGAATACAGCTATTGTCGGTCTGCGGTATGCATGGCGCTGCTCTAGCACCTGCCACAAAGTGAATGTAGGATCTATACAGCAACACCCTGGGCGGAAACTTACTTACTCTTCCCTAATCCGAGATTCCTGTTCCTTAGGGAGGCGACGAACGAGAATTGTGGCCAGTAATTTTGTCACAACTGACATTAGACTATTACCGCTGTGATTAGCACAGTCGGTACGACTGCCCTTCTTGTGTATTGCCACTATAATCGATTCACTCCAGTTAGTCAGGACACTTTCTTCCAGATATGTTCGAACAGGGTGATCAGTGTTTTGCAGAGAATCTCATTTCCATCTTTGAATAGTGTAGGGGAGGGGGGAATTTGTGTCAGCGGCACTAAAACCTTTGTGGGCTGTGATCGCTTTTCCGACGTCGGCTTCCGATGGAGACTCTAAACTAATTGTCCATGGCTCATCCTGCATCACTTGAGTAGGATGAGGTCCGGAAGCAGGTGGCAAGCCGAACTGATCTTAAAAATGTTTCATCCAACGAGCCATACGGCGCTGCTTATTGTGAATCAGTGTATCCGTTCTGTCTCTGCTTGTTTCACTGATACCTGGTTACCTGTGGGCGATGGTGCGGATCAGTTGGAAGAGCTTGTGGTAATTGCCTACTGCTCCCGCCTTCTCCATTTCTTGAGCCCAACTGGTCCACCAGGCTTTCTTATCAGCGCGCAGGCTCCGCTTTAGTTCGCGCCTAATGGTCCGTCTGGTCACATTGTGCTCAGAATCAGCCGGGAGTTTTCTTCTGGATTCCAACAGGTTCACCAATCAGATATCCAGTGACTGGCACGTCTTTATTGGTATGCTGGTCGAACTCCGCCATCGTCAAACATCAAATCCTCGAAACATAATGATCACCGAAACGTGGCTGAACTGTGAGATTATCGATGTTGTGGTCGCTGTAACCGGTAAGTCACTTCTCTGGAACGACAACGGGTAGCGGAGTGGAGTGATCATTTATTACAACACACACCTTCGCTGTGAACTTATCTATGATCCCTAAACGCGCGTCACTGGTCTCCCTTGATGCAAGCTGTGGTTGAGGAACAGCAACACATGCCTTGGGTCCGTTGTTTACCGACGATCCAAATTCACTCCGCAAATGGACCATAAATCAATATCGGCCTTTTATGTTGTGACAAATCAAATATAGCCATATCCTCATTACAGGAGACATCAATATTTATGATCTGGAAACTCCAGTAATTGATTGCGAACAGTTTAAAACGTATCAACAAGAGCTGGTCTCTAGCACACCCCTCTACAACCACATCACCTCTTCCGCCGAATTCAAAACCACGAATAAGCCATAAATGCGAGATATAGTGCTCACTGGCGAGCAGCTCATGATTGATGGGGTATATGTGTGCAGTCCTCAGTGTCAAAGCGATAAAGTGGCTCTACGCCGAATACCCCGAAGCAGAGTCCGAGAGAATGCCATACATTACGCACTACCGCGTATTGCACGCATTCGTTGAAAACACTAGTTGAACATTCATGACTGAGTGCATTCCAGAAATAGCCTGGGAAATATTCATAAAAGCCTTCACGTCACTAGTCGCAAAAGCAACAGAGCCATAAACTTCCAATCACCCCTTAAAACCAAAATACATTTTGCGAAGCCGAACCTGAAAATATCTCGTCTTGGGGATCGAGCATAGCTCGTTTGCAAAAGCAATCCCAGTCCAGAAAATTGGGCATCATATGTATTTCAACACAGTACTCTCTGCAGTTGCTTCGTGAGGACAAGGTAACACACCAGCTTGAGGTAGCGAAACGATACTATTCGAATCACAGGCTTTTATGCAAACGCGTAAATACACTCCGTAAAATACAGTGCGGAATCCCACCACTAACTACGGTCAGTAGCTATACACATAAAACGAGAGAGGCAGCCAACGCCTTACGGGCTCAGTAGTCACCTACACTCCAAGGAGTACAAGCCTCGAACACTATTCCTACTTCTGCCACTCCACCATCAGTTTTATTCATCATCACACTCACTGCAGATGCGGTGTGAAAAAGCTACTATGCTTGCGTACACACAGCTCTCCTGCAGCTGATAGCGTTCACCCCAGAGCACTGCAAGTAGCAGCCATGCACCTAGACGAACCACTAGCTGAATTGTTTCAACGTTCTCCAAACGAGAACGTAGTTCCGTCAAAGTGAAAGCGAAGTTTTATCTGCCTTATTCACAAGAGAGGAAGTTGATTTGAGCCTGCCAATTACCGCCCGATAACGCTTCCCTCTGTATTCACCAAAGTCATGGAAACGATCATCGCAGGCGCACTGATGGTCTAGCTGAAAAACTACGGTCTCATTGCATCAGAGCAGAACGGCGTTCATCAACATCGATCATGTACCACAAATCTACTGATAGCACGTGACAATTGGACCGAAACAGTCGATGAAGAAACAGGAACGCCTGTTATATGCTTCGTCTTTTCGAAAGCGTTCGATCACTTGGATCATCGAATCCTGCTTCACATACTTCAGTACTACGGCATCCGGGATCCAGTATTAGGATAGATCGGTAGCTTTCTCCGTGAACGGCAACTGGAGGCTAGAGTCCGAACATCTTCCTCCAACCCGATTTGAGCATAGTGCGGTGTACCGCAGGGTTCAGTTCTTGGGCGTCACCTGTTCTTAGTTTTTATTTACGATCTAGCGATAGTTATCACCTCAAAGTTTTTACTCTTCGCTAACCCCGTTAAGCTTTGTCTGGCGATCAAGAGAATGGACGACCACTAGGTTCTTCAACGCGACCTCGATGAGGAATGCACTGCCACTCGATGTGGACAAGTGCCGCGTTGTTCACGTCCGCCATCGACACACTTATGTCTACAAGTTTGGGGCGCACGATCTGCAGACAAGCTCACAAGAACGTGACTTCAATGTACTGGTGCAGGACGCCATCGTTTGTTCCAAGCCGTCTGAATCCGCATCAAAAAGATGTTATCAGCATGGTGATCTCTTACGGAGGGCACTCGGAAGTTTAGATTCATCGATCTTTTCTCTTATACTCAATGCCTACCCGCGTCCCCACGAATACGCTATCCAAGCCTAGCAGCCTTGGTTGAAGCATGATCTCGCAGCCTTGGATACTCCACCACGTCGAGCAACCAAAAATGTCAAGGGTTTATGCAACCTTATGTACTAGCACCGACTGAAGACACTCGGAGTGTTGAGTGGACTCTACCAGCAGCCACGTGGAGACCTCATACTAGTATACCAAATACCGTCTAGATTGTCTGCCTCCGGGTCTACAAACTCCGGGACGCTCTCTCAAACTCACTTGTTTGTGCCACAACCTTAGCCATTTTCAAAAAAAACGATTGGATGTCCCATTGAGCTCCCTACACTATATTACATGTACGGCTATTCTATACCATTTCAAAGTCATGTAAGGCCATTGCGGAATCAATTTAGGCCGTAAACATTTCGAATTGCGTCGTTACCATTTTCAAGTTGGTCCATTCCACACGTCGACCGACTTGTAGAATGGACCAACTTGAAAATATTAGCGGCACAATTCGAAATCTATGCTGCCTAAATTGATTCCGCTATGGCCTAACATGACTCGGAGATGGTATAGATATATTCAGGCTAACTATCCCCTTTTCAATTTTGACCCACAGTGAAATACGTACATCTGTGCGAATGGGGGAGCAGTCAACGTTATTTGCAATGAGCATTAACCATAACAACTTGTTAGCTTGCAAATTATGTGTAGACCAACCACCGGTCCCCATGTCTAGTGACTTAAGTTGCTGGTTAGTTGGCGTCAGCCTCTAGCGGTCATGCGTTCGATCCTTAGTAGGAGACCGATGGATGCGCACCACTGACTAGTCTCAATAGGGCGAAAGGCGTGTCTGGAGGTTTTTCGGATTGTGGATTGTGCTATGTAGTTTGTGAGCTGCTGGAATGAATACATTAAAACATGTTATTTCATTTTGCCTGATACTATTTCACTCCTACAACCCTCCTTATGTACACCATTACTCTATCGCTTCATCGATACATATTTTATTTAGTCCACTTATGTAGTAATCAGATATCAATTTCTTCTATTACCAACCTAGGGGACATGTTTAGCTTGTGCTTTTCTTTCCCCATCATAAACCATTGTTTTATTGTTCATTCTTGAATTGTGATTCACCACACTGTCACTCCTTTTCATCTCACAGCTCATCCTCCGAAATGTTAAATGAAGTTCAAGCACTCTCCCTACTTCAGCACCCGAATATAATTCGTTACTACGGTTCGTGGTATGAGGCGGAATCGGTTTACATCCAGCTTGAGTTTTGTCTTGGTGGCAGTCTGTTCCAGTTTCTGCATCCTGATCGGCAGCTGGACACCTCGGATACGGTACCTCGGGCCACATCTTTGGAATTGCTTAACGGGTATGCTGACGACTCGTCTCCTGTAGATATGCGGCGGAACGTGTTGTCTGAGAAGTTTTTGTACATTTTGTTTGCTCATGTGCTGAGCGCTCTTCACTATATGCATACCAGTTGGTGTATGGTCCACGGGGATGTGAAACCTAGCAACATATTGATTCAGCTTACTCGACCAGAGGCGTACTTAGCCTCTACTAAGGATTCTGTCGAAGCGGAGGCCATGAGCTATTGTCACAAGGTAAGTTTATTGGTTGAACTCTCTATGAAAGCATGCTTTAATAATCTCACCTACGCACAATTTGTTTCTTTGTATTCCCCAATAGATGCATTGATACTCTTGTCAACCGCTACCTGTTTTCATATTTTATCACAAGATTATCATTATTGCGCAATGTGCCCTGAGCACAGTAACTGAACTGGTTCTGGCTAAACACTGCGGAGGATAATCTTGTCGCTGACGAAAGTGTAACACCAGTAGGCGCAAACGCCCATTTGGGACTCCCATAAGACATATAAACCATCTATGCATCTGTTCTTACCTTTAACAACGGTCTCATCGATTAGCCTACTCACGGATTAGGTCTGTATTCGCCGCACTATCGGTTAACATATACAGTCGACTTATACAATAAGATATGTTAGCTTTTTTTGTTATCAACTGAGCAATCGCATTATTGCATCCTAACCTGATAGCTGATCGTCCTTGCATGCAGCTACTGCCACTGTGAATGGGAGCAGAGCAAACGTGCCTAAACTTTAGTTGCCCGTCTACACCATGTTCGCTATGACCTATTGTTGTCACTTCATCAGACTGCTTCCTGTACGCATCGTCGAGGCTCCTATAACCTCTCAGATACTCAAGCATCCATGGAAGCGATATGACAAACTCCTGGGTTTATGGTAGTGTGCGGCGCCACAGTGCCGTTGATGTTGCTCTGTGCTTTAGAGGAAGGACAACCGCAGGCTGAAGAATGTAGTGGACTGGCATTATTCTTTGACCACAATCATTTACCTACACGGCACCGCTCTTATGTGATAGAACATTGAGTGCACGTTGCCGAGGTCCTCCCGTTGGCCTCCCGCATGACCGCATCCTCTTCTGAACCTGGAACTTATCTGGGTTGCCCTTTTAATCCACCCTCCATAGCCACTTCGTCTTGGGATCATGAAAGACTATATCTGGTAAACAAGTACATTCCTATGGTACTTTGATGATAGCAATTTCCTAAGCTCGAACCCAACTCCCAGACAAACTCAGCTGCTTAGTCCGACTCAGGACGCTGCACGTTTTAACACCTCCGGAGTTCTTTTTACTAGTGCATTTCCAGACCGACGTCTTCACTTTAGTTGTCTCAGAACAACCACCAGAAATGGTTGATCGGTCCATCCATCCCTGTGGTTTTATCATTTTTTGTGATCAAACCACTGCCTAGGCTACTGGGTTCAATAGGGTATGTGTTTTTTCCAACTTTACGGCATCCTCGAGGGCTGTGCGATGCCGACTTGTTAGTTACTGATGGCGTGTGCAACATTCCAGTGTATATATTACACATTAAAGCCGTTATGCTTTATCTTTGTACAATATCCAGCTGTTTTTGACGGTATGCTATTGACAATGTGTAGGCGTCTTGATCCTGAATGTTTGCTCAGAACGTTAAGATTTTATCGCGAGGCCCCCCTTCGCTCCCACTTGTCACTCTTTATTCTTTAGGTCATGGCGGTTGTGCGGTACCAAGGCATCTGTCCCGATAGCTACTGTTAACGGTGATGGAACTGCCACCACATGTACGCTCACGATGCGTTACGCGCAACCGGTTAAGATGTTCGTATGGCACAGAACATTTACCCTCGTACCTTTGATGCTAACCGGAGTGTATATACTATTGTGTTCAGAAATAAACCGAACTATTGAAATAGTGCGACAACTGGCAAAGGAAGCACGCTGCGATTACTGAGGACACGCTAACGTTCAGAGCAAGTGCGGCAAATGGCAGTTATTGCCTGAGCAAGCCTCTACGCGCGCTCAGTAGTCTCAGTGCACTCACTTCGCCGGTCGGCGCGCTATTACAAAACTGTTTTTTCTGAACGCTGTACCATTCTCGTCTTTTTGCGAATCGCCTGGATTAACTCTGATTTTATGCGGTTTCTGCAATCAGCTGTCGCTCTTTTAATAAAGCGGATCAGTTATGTATGCCCACTGCTCCTACGTGCTAATGCCTTTCTTGACATTCTAACCTGAGAAACTTAGTCTACATTTCTATTAAAGTCATAACGTCGTTCTTTCTCGCATTACTCCTATTAGAAGTATTATGGGAACCCCCATGTTCCCATAAAGCTCTTCTAGCTGACCTGAAAGCTTCTACTTTCTTTGAACTTTACACTACTCATAAACATCCTCCATTAATGGAAACATTATAGTATTGCTCATCCCAACACTGGCACCCCAAGACCGCGGTTTCGTCCTGGTTTGTACTCATCATGTGGAGATGGCCTTAGTTGGGCTGGAACTCAGAGCCTAGTGGCTCATGGTTGACGCCATAAGCACTATGCCACTGAGATCCGCGAGCAACGCTTGGTCCAGCGGAAACGAATGCAAAGTTGGGCTTGGAGAATCCTCTGGTGGTTGGGTTGCTACAAGCAACCTCTATTGAGACCTCGGTCCATTTGAGGTGGACCTCGGTCATTCCGATCACAAGGACTGTAACTAAAATGAAAACATTTCCGCTGGACCAAGCGTTGCTCGCGGATCTCAGTGGCATAGTGCTTATGGCGTCAACCATGAGCCACTAGGCTCTGAGTTCCAGCCCAACTCAGGCTATCTCCACTTGATGAGTACAAACCAGGACGAAACCGCGGTCTTGGGGTGCCAGTGTTGGGATGAGCAACACTATAATGTTTCCATTTTACTTACGGTCCTTGTGATCGGAATGACCGAGGTCCACCGCTCTCGACTGTTTAATCGTGCGATCCTGTGACACTGCCTAGTCGTGAAAAGGAGTGCCTGAATAACTTCCTACTATTCTGAAGTCTTACCTGTTTTCTTGAGGCCGGGTCAGAGTCTACGGGAAGTTGTCTGAGTTCCCCACAAGTTGAGTCCGCCAGGGTTCTCTTATATCTCCTTTCCTCTTCACTTTTGTGATCAAAATTATTATGAATGACTCAGTTCTTCCAGAATTTTCTGGAGTGGATACTATGCCAGGTGACTTACTGATAAGCCTTGGGTCCAACACAGTGACTGCAAACACTATTGGATGGTCTGGTGCGTAGCGCTGTGCGATTTAGTATACACATTGCACCTTCAAAATGTAAGGTATTGTTACAGGACTGGACCACCACTAGTTTTGGCTATCAGCGAAAAATGCACCAGCAGTACCGACGCTTCGCTGCCGCACAACCACCACCAGTAGTCGCGCGAGCGCTAAGGATACTGCGAGGGTGGTCCGGTCCCCTATGCAGGCTCGAACTCATGACATCCGGGTTGCGATGCTTACGCCCTGTCCTTTCGGTTTCTGCCCGAAATTGGATCGATTCCTTACTTAGTAGCTGTGTCACCTCTGGTGGTCACATCACTTAGGCGGTTATTTCGCGTATTAGCAAGGCCAGTGGGGCTTTCCAAACGCTGAAGGGTAGGGTGTATAGCGCTGTGGTAAGACTAGTGTTACTACATGGATCAGAAACCTGACCAGTTCTCATTATGAGCTTGGTTGTGTTTCATCACTGGTGCTTGCGGAAGCATTGCTCACATCTGGTGGGAACACCGGCTGAGCAATACTGAGGTCCACCAGTTGGTTGTTGGCAATAAACCTGGTGCCTCACTCGAGTTTTTGCTTAAGCTCGACCGCTTACACGGTTAGGCCGTGTTTTCCGTATGCCCTTTGACCGGCTTCTTCGTCGTGCATTATACGCCCTGGCTTCATCAAGTTGGAAATCGCGAGACGGCCAGTCGATAATGTGTTGATAACAACGTAGAGAAACTGACCAAGAGGCTTCGTTAGGCCGCTGCTTGCCGTTTTCTCCTAAGGTCGTCTTTAGACTGTCCATACCAGGGGTTGGAGACCCTATCAGACTTGTTGCAGTCAGTGGCACTTCTGCATTCCGTTTCTCGCGTCTAGCCGTTGATTTTCCATCCTGAATCATTTTACGCACTTGATTTCACTTTATGTTTATTATGTTTCCGCCCAACCTCATTTTCTTACTGGTTGTTATTTATTGCTATTCTGGCGACTTGAGTCGTGGCAACTAAGATCACCTCACTTCGGTGCCCGGACTGATCTGTAAATGCGATTCAATATGCATTGTTGCTACGCCGTATATCATGTGCTCACGCACAGTTGCTGACGCACAAGTCACGTTAATTATGCCTGAGCTTCTCCCATACAGACTCGATTTGCTCGGTTGCTAGGCAACAGGTCACACCTCAGTATCCTCTCTCTCATGATTCATATCCCATGTTATCAAGTTACATAATAAATCAGCAGAAGCGCTCTCGCTGAGAATCAGTCTTCCCTCTCGTTCACTGATTCGCAGTGCGGTTCTGACGTCACCGCTTTTGGGGCTACCATGATGGGTGTTAGTCTCTTTGTCACTGGCTAAGTAGACCGTAATCGATCCGAATTCCTGCAGCTAGTCTGCGCATAAGAAAACCATGCAAAGCTGTCGGCTGATTCGTCTCAGTTGGAACGACAACAGGAAGAGTCTCCACTCGACGTTGATCTGGTCACTTTGATGACGCGACCGCTCCATATTACATTGACTTGTGGTTTGCACTCCACTATTAAGAACTGGTTGAAATGAGGCAGCTTCGTTAGTGCATTCCAATGTTTCTAATTTCAACTCCTCCCCTTTAACAGTTGGTTCTCGCTGGGGATACCACAGGTGTTCTTTTTAAACTCAGCGACTTTGGCCGCGCCTCACGTGCTGGCGAAGATCGGGACGGGGACGATCTCGGAGACGGCCGCTATTTGCCCCGGTTGAATGATCCCAGTCCTCCGGCTAAGGCTGCCACTGGTCGCGACCTCTACGCTCTGGGTATCACAGTTTATCACGCAGTAAGATTCTTATCTTTGTCATGGTTAATTAACCGTATACGTGTTTGCTCTGTCTCATTTCGCCATGCTGGTATATTTTTTGGGCGGCATTTGATTTAAACGTTTTGTAATAATCTACTGCCCATCAGGCCGTGATATGGACGCTATAGCGCGCTTGAAGATATAGACTGTCCTTGAATTTACTTTGATTCATTGGTCCAGTGAACTCATGTCTGTTTTCCAACCATCCCGGAATGAGGTAGCATGTTAGTGATCAGCTTACCCAAACCGACAACGAAAACTATCACCAGAAGCTCTGCATCTGCAACCGACGACATACAATGTACTCGTCTTGCGTTAACTGTGTGCGCACCGCAGTCATTGCTTTCCTTCACACCAAGGGACAAAACCTAGCATTAGTTGGAGCTTGTGCGGCTGCATTCCCGGCATCCACTTTTCACTCGATCAACTGTGTCTAATGTCGCCGGTCTCATTCACATGCCCCTTGTTATCCCGACTCACCCTTCATTATTCTCTTCTTAGGCCGGTGGATCAATGTCGGCGTCTGTGTGGGAGCGTCTGCGCGAAACTGAGTGTTTACCGGATCTATCCGTACTCCCCGACTCACTGGTGCCTATTGTCAAAGTGAGCTCTTATTGTGATGTATTTCGTGTCGTTGCCAATGCCCATCGATCAATGCGTCCCGCACATAGCGGTGTTAAGCCCCATCAAACGGTTGTCCAATTCACGTCATTTTTTCCCCTGTCATTTCTCACCGATGTGGTGGTCGATCGTTCTGCAGCGTTCTGGTTCACATCTCTTTCCACGAATTTGTTGATTTTGTTCTTAGTTGCTTTTCCACTATTCTACGAATTACCCTCCCAGTCGCACATCCAAGACACTTTCAATGTTGTGTGTTTGTTCGTTTCCTTGGAGGCCAACAGGAGCCACCTTCACTTCAGCTTAATCTGCTGCTTTTTCCTTATTGCCCCCCACCACCACCACCACTGGCTTTATCGTGTGAACGGGGACGAACATTGGTGTAGTGGATGTAGTTGCTAAGTAACTGACAATATAGATAGTAAGATTCGCACCGTTATCATTTCAAAAAGATGAAATAGTTAAGTTAGACGAAGATTAAACGAATGTACGAGTACCATTGACTTCACGACTGTGCGATATCCCGCTGGGTATGCAACATCTGAGGTGGCTCCCGAGAGCCCCAACTGGGAAGAACCAATCCTGATCTGTGCTTCCGTACGTTTCTTCATACTCTCGTACCACGTCATTGACTGACCACCTGTGCTGAATTCCACCCAACAATACCCACCACCGGGGCTGCCGGTTTGCAAGTCTGAGAGCCAAATTACCAGACCAGTATAGGCACTTCAAGTTCAACAGCACTTCCCATGAAGCACCGGAGGATCGAAATACGTGTCTTGTTGCGGAGTACAGTACAGATGGCTTATTCGGCCACCGATCGGATTTTGCGATTTTTTACTCTGTTATAGTAGCAGCGGTGGGCGCGCCACCCAACCATCATCAAAAACAATTTAACCCTACCGTTCGTAACGATGTGAACGATAACATTTTTTATTCATTGTAGGAATAATTGAATTAATCGAATTTTAGATCAATTTACCTATTCTTACTAACCGACGTGCATGTCACATGTCACGATGCACTTGGTTCCAAAAGCTGTCTCCGAAATCAGGACATGTTTCGTTTGGCCGCGAGCGAGGGTCACTGGGTCAAACCGATGTCTAGGTTCAATCACCTATTGTCTTGCATAAAGATTAGCTGCTGATGTTGCTAGTGCCAAGGTATATTTGTAGGTAGCGATCACGAAATGTTCCGTGCACGCCGACTTCAGGTCACGTGTTTGCCTTAGGGGTGAGATTTTAGCGCGCACCACGTGAGCTTTTGTGTTTGGGTCCGGTGGTGCATGGCACCTTGCTCCGTTATCACCCCAGGTTGTTCGGTCACGCAGTTAATAATGCGCTGTCACCGCGCTCAGACATGTCGGTGCCGATCGTTATCAGCGCCGTTGGGGTGTGCACACTACCCTTCAACGAGCGGAGTGATGTTAGTTGGGCCATATCATTACGTTCCACGGAACTGGGATGTTGTTTCATCTCCCTCTAGCATATGTATACACACCATTTGGTGTAACCACTTTCCATGATGTAACTGGCACTTTTCTGGTAGGTCCCGTAGGTTCGATTCTATTTACTACCATGTGTGTGAGGCTACTTCCTTCTACTTCTTCTGAAACGCTGTCTCCCCACTTCCACTCCATAGGATCTGTTGTGCCCCCTGGCACAGGATCGTCCAACCGCCGCAGAGCTAATAAAACACCCGCTATTTCGTCCCTTCGTCACACTACTCCTGGACAGTAAGTCATTCGGTGATTGCCTTTCGGCTTATCCATTGGAACATTTAACCGCGGATGCGAAACATGGGGCTGCCACCATTCAACTTAGGCCTATTATTTCCTGTAGTTGGAACCCGCCAAAACGTACCCTAGGGCTAATCAAAAACGTATCTTAGGATCATATTTTGTATGGTGTCGTGTAGCTATGGTATTTTTAGGCAATAGGAAAGATTCACGTTTATTGTACGGGTCAAAACTGATTGCGTTCGATAGTGAGTGGCAATAATTAGTAGATATATTTACCACTGCGTCTTGTAAAATTTCCACCTGATGACCACGGGATGCCTAAGTGTCGCGAATGTTCGTCACAATTGACCTTCTGACAATATTTCCGCAGGCGACTGGTTTGTATTCACCCCTTTTCATTATTATTTAGCTCAGTCATCTAAATCGTTTCCCGTAACGCTCCTAAACAAGTGGATGAGTGTTGGAACGGCAGAATAGCTCAAAGACTTGATTATTCACGTAGACACAAACCACCACGAAAACAAGGGTGACCCACATTCTTTTGTTTTGCATTTCGCTGCTGTGTTTACATACATACTATTGCTCGTGACATTAAAAGTAGCCTTAGCACCGATGCCCTTCCCGATCGTTAATTACCTGCTGAGTCAGAAATAGTCTTTGTCATATGCTTAGTGGGATCATGTTCAGTTGAACGAATTCTTAAATCTGATAACCAGTGAGCTGCAGTATACCATTCTCATCATTCCTCAGCCTTTCACACATTAGCTCTATTGATTCGCGATACGATTTACTCAGGTGGCAGTGAAGAAAAATCAAAGCAAAACACAAAATATTATAATGCCGTATTTCATATCAAGCATTAACAACGGCATTACGATTGGAAGAGGTGCTCCTAAGCGAGAGGGGGTGGGACAAAGAAACTCACAGCACGAACACCATTGAGGTCGGCTCCTCGCCATGTCATCAAGTGTATGCAACCAAATGTGTTCATCGTTTTTAGGACCCCAGCCTGGCAGTCCGGGGGACACTAACCGATGCCAATTTCGTAGTGAAGGCCTTCATTCAGCTTGACTAAGTCATCGCCTGGTCTACCCTCTCATCCTTTCATTCATATCCCCGGCTAGTGAGCAACGCACGACGCGGGAGCCGGTATGCTGGCCTGCGCAACATATGGCCCGGCCATCGGAGCCTGGTACGTGATCCAACGGCGCTCTTCCTGCACTAAATACACGACGCCAAACACGCTCACTGCTCACACGGTGCTCCCACCAAACATGAGCTAAAGTGTGAACGCACTGATAATCGAAGGTAACCAGCCTTTTTATGTCGGTCGACTTGACGAGACAGGCTTCGTAACCATACAGGAGGGTTGAACGGATGACTCCAATGTTAAGCCTACCGTTCAAGGCGAGATCGATCTCCTGCCGATGTCATAAGTGGCGAAGATTGGCTCAGGTGGTACTTCCAGACTTCGCTATACGGTTCGTGATCTCATCTTCGATTCCACAGGCGCTGATACAACTGCCCAAGTGGTTGAATTGCTGAACAAATTCTACCTGATCATCATCAATTGTCTGTCTAGGAGGCGGTTACTGATAGTCATGGGAAAGGATTTGCATCTTTTGGTTGCGAAGCAAAGACCAGTGTCTAACAGTCATTGGTAATCTGTCCAATGTTGCTGGGCACGCTTGTGAGCTGTCACAAATTAAGTCAATATCATCGGCATACTCCGAATCAAAAAGTCGCTCAACTACCAAGTCTCGTCTAGCAAATGTATATTTTCCTAAATGGCGAGTAACAGCGGGCATCCCCGTGTCAAACCGCTTTAGATATTGGAAGACGGCGACAGCTTGTCATAAACTCTCTCTGCCCGAACTGTGTGCGTATATGGCTCCCAAAATGTTCACGTATTTATTGGGCACACATTTACTGAGCCGATAGTCCCAAAGGACACGTCGATCCACCGAATCGAAGGCACCTTTGATGTCGAGGAACACGAGTCCGGTTGGTCGCCAATACTTCTGACGGTTTTCTAACAACTGGCGTACTGTGTGCAGTGTAATTTAATTCATTGTGCCACACCGTTCACTCCTTTGGATCTTTGCACATTCGATGCCACCTTTGTCCATTTCGGTTTCAGATTCGTCTGCTATTACACCCTGAAGTGTTTCCCTAGCGCAATGCATTTTTGTCGTCTTTCCACGGCATTCTCGTAATAGCAAGCTCCATGAAGATAGCAGTCACAACACCGGATTCCGTCCAGTATTCCCTCATACGGGTGCATTGTCACCCCTTACCATTCTTCCGCTCAAATGTTCTCATCTTACTTATTCAAAACGCGACATTGTTATGTTTGAATCCAACCTAGCTGTTCTGAGCTTGTGTAGGCATTGTGTGCGAATTGACTACTAAAGGATTTCATCACCTTTAGACGCGTAGCCATTGCTCAAATTTGCCCAACCCTGTTACCATGATTCCCGGTCGATCTGTTTCAGATATCCCTCCACCAACTATAATGGAAGTGGACTGTCCGGTTGAATGAACCCAGAGCTCCGAAAGTAACATGCACTGCATATCAAACCTGCGCTTGTCCTGCTCCCTCAGGTTCATCTTTTATATCATTCCCACGCGTGGAATTCGGTCACTTATTGCCTCATTGTGCGCGGCTTTCGCGCACTCCCTCACCAGTTAATGGTTGACACGTTTCTCAGATTTACGTTTCATTTTTTCACTGTGCGTTCCACGGCACTTTTTGTATGTAAACTTTATTCGTATCTAACACGAGCTATCTAATTCCCTATTTTGTTCAAATTTCCTGGTTGGTTTCCACGGATTCGATAGTTGCCCTCCATCGCTTACAGTTACCCATGGTTTTGTTGCTCGACTACTTGCCGGAGGTGTGAATGTGCGAGTAGGTCGTGCCAATCCTTCAGTCACTCTGTTTGGCTGCGCATAATGTGTGCAGTGGTCTCTTCCGTGATGTGACCGTCAGAGGTGATACATTTGGCCAGATAAGTAAACTGGATGACCACTCTCAGTGGTTGTTCAGTGGCACAGTGAGGATTAGTTGTGAGTCGGCTTAATCCTGTGACAGAACGTTGAAATTCAAAGATGTAAAGCACATCCCATAGCGTGCGGCACTGCTGCACGTCATTCGGTTCGGTATCGTTTGCCTAATGACTGTGTCTGATGAGAGGTGAGCTGTTCTACACCGCCAACCAGTCGAGCTGCAATAACATAGAGATGAAAGGGGACAGGAGTCAGCCTTTCGTCGCTCCAACTTTCATAAGTTTAATTAGAATTGTATTGGTATAAGTCATTGTGCATTCCTTTTGGTGTGCTGGTGGACTTAGTGGATAGCTTCCGGCAGAACCCCAGGAGTCGCAACATAGAGATTTTACAATAGGAAGGAATTGTTCCAGTGCACCACTTCGTGATAGACATCACCACAAACAAGTCCAGTCAACCCATCCAATGGCAGCGTTCAAGTCAAGGGAAAGTGTATTAATGATGTCGATGGATATACTGAAGAGTAAGGATATGGCCGATGCACCGGCTGTCTGTGGCGCAATTCAGCGGAACTTTTGTCTCTCAAGGCGACGCATTGTTGTGCGCGTGAGTAGTTTGGTGCTCTAGATGCGACTGGTACTCCGGACGCCTTTTAACTCTTAAGAGTGGAGCGGCGTTTGTCGACCGCTAAGTCAACTACTGTCCATTTGAGAAGCTAAGACAGGCGTTTGGGGCCGCCTCAGTCCTCCAGAAAACATGATATGGGGCCGTCTGAGTCATGCGCTTTTTCTGTCTAAGCAGCATTAGCTCGTGTTGGACCTGTCTATGGTTCGAGTTGTTACGTTTACCTCCCAGGTGTGTTCCGGTGACCTAATTAGCAATCCCGATACGCTAAGCCGGCCGAGTTACTTTACGTAACCTAGCCGACCTAACAGAGTGAACCATCTGTTTATTTTCCCTAATACTCTCTATTACTCATGAAATCCCCTCCTGTACTTGCCTGTCAGAGGAGTTGGAACTGTGTCCCGGTATGTCCAATCTACACTCTCAGTTACTTCCGAGAATCCTAGTCGGACGTCGCTTCAATGTCACGGGTACCTTGAAACTCTCATTCACACGTATTCATCTTTCATGTTTCGATTCGGCCAGTCGAGATCTGATATCCACCCACTGTTGAGACTTTTCAAACTGGAAAGATAAGCGGTCTCTAGTGTTTTTCGCATCACATCTTTGGGTCGATTCCATTCCGTATTCAGTTTGCCTACCCCATGCGCTAGTGATGGCTGATGTTGCGATTCGGGCTGCTATTCCTACTTCGCGGTTTGCGAATGAAGTTGACGCACAGGTACCCTCGAAGTTGAACGCTTTTCTGAGGCATGGAAATGACACTTAAATCGTATGCACGAGGACTTGGTCAGAAGCCAGACGAGTGATTCGGATTAACCAACAGCCTTGCATTGACATTCTCCGTCTGTAACAGTTTGGGTCCATGACAGTCTGTGATGCGGTGGGCATTTTTTCACCTCGATGAGTGCACTTGTATTTAGAGCTATGCCACAAACACAGGTTGTGATCAGAGCACATCTGAAGAAGGCGGTCGGCACATATTGCACAACACGGATCGACTCCGAGCTGATCTTCTGGGTCTAACTTAAACGTTCCTGTCACTCTCCACGATGTCCGGACTTGTAGCCACTCGAAGTAGGAAAGAAAGGTGCTGATAGAATTCCTCTTTCGGTGCCTCCAGGTCTCAGTTGGCTGGAGCGTGGTCGTAAATACACCCAACCTTCGGCCGTTTCTCGTTAACCCGAATGGGCATGAAAAGCATCGAATGCTCCAGTGGAGGGGGGCAGTTCGATCACATCATCCAAATTCAGTTGTACTGTTTGCCTCAACTACACCGATGTCGGCTTGACATCGGTAGTGCCAAAGCTGCCTCCATTTCACTCCGTCCTCGTACTGCGAAACTTTTGAGAGCGGATCAGGCAGAGTTTCGACAGTCTCGGTACTCCATTATTTATATATTTACTCTGCGGCAGCGCAGCCCGTGCGGCGATTGTCCATAGCTTTGCTACTCGCTCTCAAGGACCCGTTCAATCCAATTGATCACTCGTTCTTATTATTTGCGCCTTCGTAGGAGTGTTCCAACGGATTAGGTGAGCACTGTATACGACGCCCTTGGAAATCTCACCCCATCCGGTTCCACAGCGAATTGTCAGACCTCTTATCGAAGATACATCTTTTCTCTCCCCACCATTATCACGCAATTTTATCACGGTCTTACAATGAAGTATTTAAAAACCATCCTGGGAGTTAACTGGTTTCTTGAATGATGCCATATCGTTCCTCAAGAAAGATAGCATTTTAGGAGTGATACGAAACCAGAGTGTAGACAGTAGGATACTTCATTCTGAAGCCTCGCACATATGATGAAACAATGGCATAGAACTGGTAGAAAATGTAACGCCTTATAGGCCACAGAGGGTGATCGGGATGCAAATAGAAGAATCGGGAGAAGTGTCAGTGAATTGAAGTGCTGCTGGTATGAAAACAAGTCCACCTGGTTCGAATTTGGATGCAAGCCGTTTGGTTGCGTTATGTAGCTTCCTGATGAACACATTTTATATAAGGAAATTTAAAAGGCACACTGCATCACCAAGTCGTTTTCAAACATCGTTAACTTGTTAACGCAAGCAACATACGTGGGCATAACGTTCCACGGCTGACGCATTCGAAGTTGGAAAACGTTCCGACGGCATTCCAACCGACAAAACTGCATGGACAACTTTAGATTGTAGTCTGTCAGATTGATGAATGTGGTTGGGATCTTTCATGATTCACTTAACCATCATGTTGTCCTTCCAGAGGCGCCAGAACAATGTGTTACACATTCCGAGGAATTTTAATCTAGGTTAGGAGAGAAGATAGGAGAATTTCTTGATGTTCTTAGACGCTCTTCATTGTGGGGTGGAGTACTGCGAGACCGTGCTTCTGCCTAGAATGTCCCGCATTGATGACGTATTCCACGTGGGGTCGCATGTATGTTATAAGATGGCAGGGTCAAAGCGACCAAGCGCTCTTTGCAAAAGGCCATGTTGATTGCCGGTTTTCGACTCCTTGGACCGTTTCGAGCAGCGGAGATCATCTTGAACCACTGTCCCGAGGTCATCCTCCTTGGAGTTTTCATTTACTATCCCTACGCTTATCTGCGCGGTAAACTAGGGTTAATTTCTCATCGACCACTCACAAACGCCATTTAGATCACTTTGATAGAAATTGCGAACTTCATGGAAAGTAATTTTGTCCACCTTGTCTTGAAATCGTCAGCAAAAAGCAGGAAAGTCGGGGCGATAACGCTCTCAAGGTCATCGATAAACGCCAGGAATAAACGCAGTATCTGTATTGAATTCTGTGGAATACCGCATTCCACCTCACTCCAGTTGGAAGCTGATCCCCGAATGTGCAATTGCAGCATCTGTTGGCGAACGAAATTACCGATCCACCCAAGGCAAGAATTCTCGATTCCATAACTTTGCAGTTTGTGAAGCAGGATGCAGCAATCCAGGTAGCCGTAAGCTTTGGTGAACACCAGTTGGATGACGTCGATTCCGGCCATACCATCTGTCGCTTCCGTCCAACTACGTCGTGCCATCTGTAAATTTATCCTGTATTACCAGTGTTGATAGAAGCCGTACTGCTCCGTTGCCACGATTACATCTTTTCAGGTGGCACTCTAGTTCCTCGGGACTACCGTTTCCATCCCATTGGAGAGCACGGAGACTGGTCGTTTACAGGGTCTGCATGACTGCCACCTTTAATAATTGGGGTAATGATACCTTCCTTCAACCCAGTCGGAACTTGTTACTCTTTTAAGCACCCCAGAAAGAATTTCGAAGAAGGCTCGGTTAACTTCCTGGCTCTAGACTACACTTTTCTTTTGCGTCGCTTTTGTTGCACCTGAAACAATCAATTTCACCGGTCAGTAGCTTGCGACACTGTTGCTGCTATTTACCAATCAGCTGTTGGCATGTTCAACCGACTGCGTATTTCTAATACTTTGGTGGAGAACAGATTACATTTGTTTGGTTACCTGACCGATCGCCTGATGCCAATCCATTCACTCCAATCGGTCGCCTCACGACGCCCTTGTTTGGTTATCATCAATTAGTGCATCTACCTCTAAGCAAATCTTTCGCAGCGGCTTTATTTTGGTGTTTGCTCCGAACCCTAGAAATGCAAAGTACTGTTGCAGAAACACCTTTTTTATCAGCTCATTTGAACATTGGCGACAATAGAATTGGAATTGTTCCCTGTTTCAATCCCCCTGAATGCCGTATTGGCCATGACAAATGTGTGAAAGCCGAAATTAGTTCGTGCAATCCACAAACTCCCCTCACCACGCTCGATACCGCACAACGCAGGGCGACAAAGAACGTTAGAGGTTTGTCCCGCCTTCCCTACCCACTCAGGCTGAAAACCCTCAAAATATACAGCGGACACTGCCGCCCTCTAAGAGGCGATCTCATACTGGTGTATCAGATCCTGAGAAGCCTCAACCATACACGCCATTCTCTTTTGAAACAGTCAAAACACATCTCTAAGGAGCCATCCGTTTAAGCTGGTCACGCAATACAGCCAACTGGAATGTCGACGAAACATTTTCTCCCACCGAATGTCACAGACTTGGAACGCTCTTCCAGAACATGTAATTAATGCTGCTACTTTATCCCTTTTCAAAAAACGCCTTGACGACACTCGGACACACAGTACGTGATAATCCAAACCCCCT